TTTGCTGCTGAACAGCTCTTCAGAAACATTTCTTGCCTCTATATAAGAGCCACAATTAATAGTTGGCCCCTATTATTTTCAGGACATTGGCATTTCTAAATGCAATGTCTAGAACCATTACAATTGAAAAAAAAGAAATAATGCTGAACACTGAGGTAAGCAAAACTAAGAGAATCACCACGATCAGGAGACACCCAAGTCATGATCCACTGTACCTGAAGTCATCCTTATCTGTAAGCTTCTTGGAGATAATAACTTTTCTTATCCATAAGCCTATTGGAATCACTTCAGGGTGAAGACATTCAACACAATACCTTTACTTCTGGCTACAGAGTTACCATTTACCCTACAAGTTAAAAGACTGAATCACCAGAATGATTGTTAGTTAAGTACTTGCTAGTTCACTAGTAGTCAGTGAGCTCTTCCAAAGGACTGTACTTGAGGAACTGAGTCAGACATATCAATTCCTAGAATATTAGGCAAAGTTTACATTTTAGGAAACCAAAAGCCAATCATTTTCCCTCTGTAAATATGTAATTTATAGAAAACCAATTAAATTTTTGAGTCAATTATACTTCGTCAAAGCTCCAGAATTTAGGATCTACTTTTTGCTTTCTTTTTTTTTTTTGAAGTGGTTTCTGTTTCCAGTGCTGCAAATAGGAAATCATTTCATCAGCTTCTATAGAAGACAGACTATCAGAAAAAAATTAAGCCATTGATAGTTATCTTCCTGGGTCCTCATCCACAAAATTCAATTTTATTTGGTTAGAATCGAGAATGTAATTCCAAGATGAACTATAGTAAAAACACAACATAGCAAATAGAGCTTGCTTGGACATAATAAGCATTCCTTATAGCTCTGGATAGTTATAATCTTCATTTGAGCTATATCTAACTCTTTATGAAAGCCAAGAGAGGACATGCAGATTATAGAATTACCTCTAGCATCTGGATTTTCTGAATAAAATACCAAATTTCTCAACTAAAATGGATACCAAAAGCCCTTAGGCTAAAACTGAAAGAGACCAAGATTATCTGGAATGCTTTGAAATACAAATGACTTTGTATCTGGGTCAGATAGCTTTTCTGTACAATCCAGTTTTAACTGAATTCACTTAGAGTTCAAGCCTATAATATTATACTGCTGATATCAAAGTCATATCATTGAGTTAATACTCTGGTATGTCAATCATGCTTTAAGCAAGATTCTATTCTCTATATAGACATTTGTCAGGGCTTTATGGGTGAAAATAAACTTTAATACAAAGTTAGTTCAAACTTTATAGTCCATTTTTGACCATGATTTATCTGCCAGGGCTAACTTTGAGACTTTTTAAAAATTAAAATTTCCAGGAGCATATAAGTCTGCTGGGCAGAGATAGTATCTACTTCTCTGTTCCAAAGAGAGCATAATTCTTAGTGCTCAATAAATGTTAAATTATGAATAATAATAAATGCACATAAAGCCTGAGAGAAAAATGTTGCTGAATGCACACTTATTTATTGATTCAATTTCCACAGCACTTTCTTGAAAAATACTTTATCAACTTGAACTCAGATTATACCAGGAAGATACATAAAATGATGTAAAAGGTAAAGGATTATACAAAGAAAAGGGAATATAAACCATCAACTGCTTTAGGTAAAATTTTGTGTTCTAAAACCACACAGTGAATTTGTTAGCAAATTTGAAGAGAAAAGAATATCTAGTGAATTTAAAATTACCTATCATAGAATCAAGACTTAAACGGATCAGTTCAATCAACAGAAATCTATTAGATGACCTAAGACTCTGAAGATGATATAGAAAAGCAATCAGGAGTGAGTTATCTATAACCTTTTTCAGTAGATAAAAACACATAAAGTTTGAAAGCAAAGTTTTACTTCTACAGAAGAAATCAAATCAGTGATATTGAAAAACTATACTTAATTAAAAAAATAAATGAAGAAACAAGAAAGAACTTGGTACATGAGAAGGAATAAAGTTGCAGATTTACACTGTGATAACTGGGAAAGTCAGATAACAAAAGGGAATACAAAAATTTCTTGGAAAGAGAATGATTCTAAACTGAATAAATCCATGTAACTACTGGTTAAAATCTAACAAAATATAATTAAATGAACTTAGATATTTATTCTGAAATTTTTATTTCAAGAGCAATGAAAGTAATCCCAGAAATATACAATTTGAAAAATCAAAATAGTCAGTTTGAAATGCAAATAATGCATAATAAATGGACGAAAAGATCTAGAATTACTTCAATACTTCTTTTTTTCATAAGAGGAAAAGTTGACAAAGAAAAAATTTTGTCTGGAAGTGAAAGCACTGTGACTGGTTTTGTTTCCCTTTTCTAAGGGCAGATAAAATTGCAACTGTACAACTGTCTAATCTCTGTTTGGGTGAGCCGTACCAATAAATGGATAATCAGAGAGTTGGTTACAGATCGTTTCCCTAAGGCAGTGCTAGTTGAAATGTAATGCACACACCACTACTGGCCTGGAAGAAGTATAGAAACTGAGCGTAAATTGAAAATACGCATTTAGACCTTTAATAGCAATTTAGTGTTGCCAGGGCATCCAAGATATAATTATATATTTCAACAAAATGATCCTCTAATTAATTGGAAACTACAAATAAATTTAAAATGATCCTCTAATTACTTGGAAGTTACAAATAAATATACCCTTTACTGCAGACTATTGAGGAACTCCATACTAAAATATCAAGTGAGGCTTAAAATAAAACTCCAGAGACATTTCAAGGAAGCAAAAATATGAGGATGGTGCATGTTGATTGAATACCTCATATTCAAACAGAAGATAACATTGATAGTTCAGTATTAAGCTTATTTACAAGGACTGCAACATCCAAATAGCTGAGAGAAACAGGAAGTAGCCCTTCCCAACCCCGGAAATCTACACATTAAAAAATCATTATGACTGAAAATGTATTTGCAGTTGAGTCACATGATATAGTGATATTTTTTTTCCTTCCTCTATTGCATTTCAACACTCTCTGTAGCAGGAGTTAAAAGTCTCAATTAATTTGTTTAGTTTGCTGTGGTACCTATGGGTCACATTCAAATTTTATCAGTGTAAATTCTCTCAATATATTCAAATATGCCAGGTGCAGTATCCCTCCCTCTTCCTGCAGCTGTCCCCTTCAGAGAGCTCCTATTGTTTCTTCACTCAGGAGGAGACAGATTTCCAAGTTTGTACAGCTGTGGCCCTGAGATTTTTTCTTTTCTCCAACTTCTATTGCGCTGGACTCCTTCTGCCATGGATTCCATTTATTACTGGTTTTAGTTTTACTACTTCATTTGGGAAGACCCCTCTTCCAATAATTTCCTGAAAATTGTTCATGAAAATAGAGTTTTTAAAATCTTCCTTGTCCAAAAAACCTATTCTATTCTCATAGGCTGGAGACAATTATACTTGATGTACATATCTAGGGTGAAATCATCCCTCAAAATTTTGAAGGGATATTTTCAACTTGACATTAAATTTCTAGTGTTGCTGTTAAATATGTAGATGCTATTCAAATTTCCTACCCTTTGTATGTGACCTGATATCTCTCCCTTCCTCTCTCTCTCTATCTATGTCTCTGTCTCATACATTTTTACAGTCTTATTTTTGTCCCAATTGTTTTAATGTTTTATGTCTCATGTGGTACATATTTGCTTAAGAAATTCTGATAAGCCTCTGGAAGCTCTTTTCAATCAAAAAATTACTGTAGTGTGTACAAAATACTTTAAGTTCATGTATTTGGGGGGACAAATGGTCATTATTTTACAACTGACATATTTTAACTCTTCCATTTACTATTGAACTCATAATTTATTTGTCCACTGTGTCCACACTGTATGTACCCACCCATCAGTCACTTATAACTCTCTTTGTTATCAGATGATCACAGAGATACAGTACTAGGTTCAAGTAATGCTTATTTTATTTAATAATGGCCCTATGCAAGAGTAGTGATGCTGGCTATTTTATTACAATATATTTAAAATGATTTATTTTATCATGAGTTATTGGTAATTACTGTTGCTAATTTATAGATTAAACTTAATCATAGGTATATATGTACTTCATAGAAACAAACAAAATACATAGGGTAGAATACTATCTGAAGTTTCAGTCATCCATTAGTGGTCTCAGAAAGTATCCCCCATAGATAAAGGAGACTGACTCTTTGCTTAATTGTGTGTATATGTGGGGGAATAGCAGTATTGGGGGATCTTCTGATAAGTAACACTAAAGGGTCTCTCCTAATTTCCTGTATACTGCATGTACTGGTAGACCTAGAAACTACCATATCATCTTTTCAAATTCCAGCTACGAATAATCTGAGTATCTTTTATAATTAATTATTAGCAAAATTATACAGAGAGTACTGTATGAGAAAACTAATTTGATGCTCTTTTTTTTAATGCTTCCTAGTGTTCATAGGTGGGATGACTAGGTATCAAATTCAGGTGTGTTTGGAAAAAAAGCTACCCTCACTCATCTATACAATCCTCTTCCTTCTTTGTCATGTGGTCTAGTATTATTAAATGTGTATCATAGTATATGCTGCTTATGCTATCTTCAGATTCTTCCTTTCTGTTTTACTCAGGCTTTCATTATTTGTTTTCATTCCTTCTTATTCTTCTCTTTCTTCAAATAATTCATTGACCATTTTTCTTTAAAAGTCATAGCTTTGACAATGGTTGCCCTTGAGGGCACGGTAAGACTCTTGACCAGAAGAAGCAATTGAATCTTTTTCAGAATGAACTTAGATAGCTTAAGAATGTAACCAAGACAGTCAAATAAATCATCAATAATTGCTGAACTAGAGAAAAACTGAATCTGACATCCAGTCTTATTCAACTTAATAAGGAAACAAAATGTCTAAGTTATGTTCAATAATTCAGGCATTAGCTTTTCTAATTAAAATATGTAGCAATAACCAAATTATTAATTCTCTTTCTTAAATTTGCTCTCTGTATAATTCACAGATTTTCTAATTCAACTGACTCATGGGAGACAAACTACTTTTAAAGGAAGAAGTTGAAGAGTTTTGACATGCATGGTGAATAAGACAAGTGAATCTGAGGAGTAGGTTTGTTTTGCATGGACTTCTGTATAGCTCAACACTTCAGCTCAAATAGACAGCAGACTATGAATGGTTGTTATTAAAACTCTTGATAAGATAACTAGCATACAACCAGAGTGAGCAGGAAAAACTCTGCTTCACAATGAAACTTACAAGTTTGATTTACTGGAAGGACAGAAGGGAGGAAATTGTAGAGAATGATGGAGGGTTATCTGTTCTATTGGTCATAGACAAAAAAGAAAACACAGTTTATTGACATTAGTGAAAGGAGGTGTCCTACCATTCACATACCAGTTAATCATAGGGGAGCAGAATGGGATGAGACAATAATTTCTGAGGACAGAACCATTATATTTTCACTCCCCAGCAAGGGTCAAGTGCTAGTTGCTCCTAATATCATGGGGTCAAATTTAATACTGGCAACTGGAGTCAAGCTAATATATTTGACATGGCTTTATGAACATCAAAGTTGATTAATTATGTGGCAGTTCTCCACCCAAATATAAATGGTAAGGCATAGGTCTAAAACAGGAAGCCTGGAAGTGAAGATAGGAATCAGGGTAAAATAAATTATATAATCTGGCCAATAATAAGCTTTATCAGTGAGTAGAATTATTTCCTTGCAACTGTGAATGCTGGTATGTTCAATATATCTTAGATGGTCAAAATGGTCATTATATAGTTGACCACTGACAAACTCGCTGCACTTTCTGTACCAAATCTGCATATAAAAAGTCTTCCTATAATGGTATAGTTAAATACCATTTTAATATAATCTTCAAAACAAGAATAAGAATTATCTCTGTAAAATTTTTCCAGTTGAAATCTTTAAAAATACTTTAAAATACTAGCCTTTAAGTAATCAGAGAATATGAAAACTTTGTCAAAATGAGTTAATTTTACACCAACATTCATAATTTACATAAAGTATCTTTGATTTCCTTTACTTCTTACTCAAACTTGTATTGTCTAACCTAAATTACATTTTCAACTGGTAAGCAATACAAAGTTGTGGAAATCTACAGACTGTGGAATCTGTCCTGCCCAGTTTTTTTGTTGTTGTTTGTTCTTTAGTTTTTCAATATCAGGCAGGGAGTGAACTCAGGTACACTTAATCACTGAGCCATATCCTCAGCCCCTTTTATGTTTTGAGACAGGGTCTTGCTAAATTGCTTAGGTCCTCATTAATTTGATGAGGCTGGTTTTGAACTTGTGATCCTCCTGCTTCAGCCTCCTGAGCCACTGGGATTACAGCTATGTGCCACATTGCCCAGAACAGTTTAAACTTTTTACTTTCTCCCTGGAAAATCTTGGACAAGTCTTGTAGCTTTCCTGGAGTTACAGTACATCTTAATAATAATACACTAGTGTCTATACACAGTACTAGCACATATTACACTGTCAGGAAAAGGGGGATTACCATTATTATTGCTATTGTTTTGGTTATTATTATGATGATTGTTATGCTTTGATTAAGGCCCCAAAAGTTAGGAAAAGGAGGTTTAACCTGGAAAAGAAACAAATGCACAAATAATTCCTTTGCAGGAAAGGGTCTGATGAAAGAACTGTGCTTTAAGCAGTAATATTTAACTCCCTGGTCTGAGATCCAACAGCTTGAATTATTATAATAAAGGATATTTTGAGAATATGGACAAAAGCTCCAAAGTACATGTTCTCTCAAGGCTGATATGGATGTGATTAATAATTCTATGCTCATCCAGCTATTTGGATCTATTTGACCTACTGTGGTAGGCAGAACAATGTCCCTGTACTAGTCAGCTTTTCATTTCTGTGACTCAAATACTGGTCAAGATAACTTGGAGGAGGAAGTTTATTTGGCTCATAGTTTCAGAGGTTCATTTCATGGTTGGCTGACTCCACCATTTAGGGTCATGGTGAGGCAGAATATCATGGCAAAAGGGAAAGGTGGAGGAAAACTATTCAGATCACAACAGCAGGAAAGCAAAGATAGTGAAGGAGGAGTCCTACCTCCCAAAGACACGCCTCCAGAAACCCACCTCCTCCAGCCACACACCCTCTTACCTACAATTACCACCCACTTCATTCCATTATATGGATCATTCACTGATTAGGTCACTGTTCTAATACAGTAGTTTCACCTCTAAATATTCCAGCATCAACACAGGAGATTTGAGGGTATGACTTTTGGGGTTTGGTAATATCCAAACCACAGTCCCCACCCCGCCAGATAGTCATGCACTAATTATTGCATAGCAAAAGGGATTTTGCAGATATGATTAAGACTATGCACCTAGAGATAGGAAGATCCTGGATGATTTGAGTGGACCTTATTTAGTTACATGAGCTCTTAAAAGCAGAAGATGAAGACAGAAGTGGCAGAGAGCTTTGACAAGAGGAGGATTTCATTCACTATGGTTGGCTTGAAAAATGGAGGAAGAGGCTGAGAACAAATCTGGGTGTGGCCTTTAGGAACCAGGGTTGGGGTAAAGCTTTTGGTTAAGGGGACTTCAGTCTTACAAGTGCAAGAACCAGAATTCTGCCAACAATCTCAATAAGCAAGTAACAGATTCTCTTCTGGAACCTTCAGAAAGAAATGCAGTCTTACCTGCACCTTCATTTTAGCTCACTGAGACTTATGTTGGGCCTCTGACTAACCAAACTGTAAGATCATGTATTGTGTTGCTTGAGCTTCTAAATTCATGGTAATTGTTATAGCTGAAATAGAAAATTAATCCATTTATGATTGAAACATTGCATATATAACTCAACTCTGTGAAAATTGCAGATGTATACCTTGCAGTTATACTTATTGAAGATGAAATCTTGAAAGTATTAATGAACACATAACTAAAGTAAAAATCTTATTGGGCTCATGCTCCAACTTCAAGAATACAATAATACTAACATGTCTCAGCAATAATGTAAAATTCAAAATAATGTAAAAACTAAATATTAAGAAAAAAATTATTTTATTCTCTATTTTTATGAAGCTAGGTATTACTAAGTGATATAGTATCCATAATTCATCCTATGAACCCATGTTTGTCTTCCCTATGAAATTCTCGTACAGTTTTCATGACTTAATGTGTCTGTCTTTATAATTTGACAGTCTTGGGAAGGCTTAAATGTTATAGAGAATATAGTGTTTTGAAATATGTGTCTTATTTCTTCAAAGTATATTGAGATGAATAAAGTGACTGAATTCCATCTTTATTCAATTAATTTTCGAATTTAAGTATATACACTAAAATGAAAATCACATATATGATATCCTTTTTTTTTTTTTAGAAATCTAATGTAAGAGCTATGACCATTAAAGAATTTGATGCTTTGTAAATAAAATTTCAAAGATCAAAAAAATAAACTATAACATGTTTGGTTTTCAAATAAATGTTTAAAATTAATTGAAAAAATAGGCATTATAGAAAAGGATCATAAATATTTTCATACTATTTTCATGTCACCAAAATATTTCAGAGTTTAAAGGTATCTTAAAAGTCATCAGATCTAATCTGTTCCTTGTGCAATGCCTGTAACAGAGGGTCTTCAACCTCATATTGAAGCCCCCTGTAAAGATGCAATCTTAAGAAAGTGGATATCTCATTTTGTAATTATTTGAAAATACCCCCTAATAGAGCCTCCAAACAAGTAGTAATTTAGTATATATTAGTTTTTAAAAATCTATAAACATACTAAAGGTGCTAAAGATGAAATAATCTGGGCCAAGCCCAAATAAACCACTTGATTTTCAAATTCTGATGAAGGAGAATATAAGGTAAAAACTTTTTTATTGACTCTTACCATGTTCCAGACAGTAAACTAGATTTTTTTCCCAAATTTTAACTCAATAAGTGAGCATGCAAATCATTAAGCTAAATCCATCAGCAATTTATTTCATGGAACACTAGAGGACTTACAGAATCAATATGCCTCCTGAGGAGTTGAGCCCTAATTGTAACTTGTTTGCCGGCAGGATCTGCTAACGATATTTTCTAAGCAGTCCTAAGTCTCCTGGAGTTCTGTCTCATTGTTCATCATTTTACATTGCCACATTACCTAATGATGATTCAGATTTTACCTTAACATTTTTTAAAATTTTATGAATAATTGCCTCTATTAAAAAGCATAAATGTAAAGGCAAAAGAAAAGGTGCAATCAACTGCTGTTTTTTTTGAACAGTAATTTTTTTTTCTGGTAACAAATACTTTGAAACACTTGTTATCTGGATTTTATTAGACTTCAGTTTCAAGATGGCAGAGAAATCACATACATAGAACTCTCAGTCTTCTCCAGTTTCTACTGAATGGACACAAAATAAGTCACTGATAAAAGAACGAGATGCAGTCAGCAAACAGAGGTTGGGGTGGATTTATTGAAGCCAGAACGGGTGACATCTACTGATGCCACAGTCAGTGGACTGAACACACATGGCTTATTCTAAAGAGACTTTTTTCTTCACTGATACACAAATGAGGCGCAAAGGTCAGAATCAAGTTGATGAAAGCATCCAACAAAATGGTTTGCATGCATGAATAGAAAGTAATATGTATTAGCACTTTCTTTAAAATACTGAAAATGTTAACAAAAAAAAGTTACAATTTTATTTTGCTCACAGATTCTGTGTGTCTACAATATCTGGAGCTTCCCCTGGGAAGGCTTCAAATTCAAAGCTGATTTAAGGATTCTTGTAACTCTAAGAAGCATCCCACATCTGGCATTATCCAAAGCCTCATTTTCCTGTCTAATGGTTGATAATGGCTGTAAACCTAAACTCAGAATCTGAGACATTTACACATGACCTCTTTATTTAGTTCCTTAGGCTTCCTCACAGAATGATAATGAAGTTCCAAGAATGAGTGTTCTAAGAAAAAAAACAGGGATAATTTTTATAACTTCTTAGGATCTAGCCTTAGAATTCATATCTGCCGTACATACAACTCATCCACATTCCAGGGGAGGAATCATAGAATATACTAATGAGTGGAAAGAGTCAAAGCCACATCATAAGAAGATCATATAGGATGAGAGATAATGTTGTGTCCATGTTTATAAAATTCTGCTACAGGTAGTTGGTTAAAGAACTCTCTAGGCTGGAGGTATAGCTGAGGATAGAGGGCATGCTTATC